TTGTGGGGGGGGGGGGGGTAGTCGTGTGGGGGGGTGCCTCAAGTGAGTTGTGTGAAGGTAAAGTGAGAGGTGTGGGCGAGTGGTGGGGGTGGTGTGCGGGTATTTTATTCTATTGACACACATAAAGAAAAACAAATAGCTTCTGTCTAGCCTTAACAGACTGTTGGGGCAAGTGCTGCCTTTGTCTCCCCAGTGCTGATGTTTTACACAGCGAACCAGATACTCATTTAAAGTTGAGTCGACCTAGAGGAAAGGCCCATGACCGGTTCAGATATTCGTCACCGATGTTGGCTGAGAACGTAGTACAACGGGCTAACCACTGCGCCACCGCTCCCCACACCACTCACAAAAAATACCCCCCGCAGAGCCTTTAACAGACTGTTGGGGAAAGTGCTGTTAGCCAGCACCTATGAAGGCCGGCACAGCACACGAGGGGTTGGGTGGCCAGCACCACGCCCGGCGATGTTTACACACCGCACGAGGTACTCATTTTGAGGCTGAGTCTACCTAGGGGAGGCCCAGAGCCGGTTCAGATAATCGTCACTGGTATTGACCATGAGCGGGAATCAAACTCGATGCGCCGGGTTCAAAGCGCAGCGCGCTAACCGCTGCACTACCGCTCCCCCTACACAACCAGACACACACACACACGCGCATTCACATTAGCCTTGGCAAAACATCGCTATCTATAGACGACCCTCCTGAAAAGCAGCCTTGAGGCTCACCCAGGCTTTCATGGTTAAATAAAGGACTGTGACCTCGCGTGCCCCCCCACCTCCCCCCCTCCAAACCCCCACCCCTTCCTAAGCTCCCGACACAGAATGAAGGAGTCTGTGTGCCGCACCTCGTGTGTCCCCTTCCACGCCGTCTGTGTCGCGTGCTAGAGTCGGCCAAACTACCCTCCATCGGCGGCGAGGGGTCGGGGGGGGGGGGCTCTCCACTCGAGCTCCCTCGGGTGTGGAGGCCCTTCCGCCGGCAGTGCCGTGAGTGAGCGGCTTGCGTGGCTGCACCTTTACCCTGGAAAACGTCCAGCCCCGACTCTTTGGTTATTTCGGTAAAGTCGCGTAGGTAGAACAAAATAATAAAAGATCACGACGTTTCGATCGCAACACAAGCGGTCGTCTTTAGGCGGAATAAAATAATAATCCGGCAGCTTTTTTTTCCCGCCTGAGGACGACCGCTTGTGTTGCGATCGAAACGTCGTGATCTTTTATTATTTTTTCTTCTACCTACGTGAATTTGCCGAAAGAACCAAAGAGTATGGATTCCTGCAGTCACGAAAGCTTAAAATCAAGATTGTACAGCCCCGAGTCCATTCCGCTACCTGATGAGTTTGTTATGGGGACTGTTTGACCATAAATGCCACCACGCTGGTCGGTGCGGGTTGAATGTCGGAAGCATAGACGTGGGGAGCATTGAAGTACGGTACAACGAAACAATTGAGTTCGCCGCACCGAGTAACCCCGCCGCGGCCTATAGCACCTGTTACACTGCACGGTGGACCACGCGTCCAAGCAAAATCCGTGCACAACCCTCATCATCGCCTTATGTGTTTACAAAACAGCACAACCCCCTCCCCCTACATCTCCACCCCCCACGCCCTCACCAAACACCCCCCACCCGGCTCCATACCCCCTCTCTCCTCCCCTGTAATTTGGGCCCCGTGCCCCGACCCGAGGCCGCTCAACTGGGGCCACGGTCACTGCTCGCTAATGACTAAATTGGAGCCAGGCCCGTCCGGAATGTGGTCTAGGCTGTTTGCCATCCCCACCCAAACTCACCTTACCCCCAGCCCTTGACCCCCCGCCCTCACCACTTATCCCCCCCCCCTCACCCACCACCCTCATCACGGGGCACCCCGGCAGTCCCTACTACCCCGACGTCGAGGGGAGGTTGAAAGGCGACGTTGCAGGCCCACGACGTCCAAGTTCGTTGCTCGCCCTCGGTTCCCCAACTCTGGCCGGCGCTCGTTACGCGAGTCCAATGTGAACCACCGAATTGAGTCTCAAGGGTTACAATTCGATGTAAAGCTTTCGTGACTGCAGGGATTCATCTTCTTGGTTCTTTCGGTAAAGTCATCACGTAGAAGGGAAGTAATAAAATAATAAAAATAAAACATAATAAAATAATTCTCACGACGTTTCGGCCACAACGCAAGCAGCCGTCCTCAGGTGAAGAACAGGTCTGTCAGACTCTGTCTCCCCGACAGACCTGGTCTTCACCTGAGGACGGCTGCTTGCGTTGTGGCCGAAACGTCGTGAGAATTGTATTTTATTATGTTTTATTTTTATTATTTTATTCCTTCCCTTCTACGTGACTTTACCGAAAGAACCAAGAAGAGGGTTACAATTCGTTTGTAAGGCGGTCGTGTTGGAGTGGCGGTGCCCCCGGGTGGGTCTTGTTACTACGCGGTTGCTTTTGCGCTGATTTCTATTTGCTTCGATGTTGCGCTTGCCGTGACGTTGTTATTCTCGTCGTTCCGGTGACGCGGATCGCTCTGGCCCGTCTTGGAGGGGGGAGGTGTTGGGGGGGGGGCGTTGGGGGGGGCGGGGGTTGGGGAGGCGGGGGGTTGGAGGGGCGGGGGGTTGTGGGGGGGGGGGTCCTGAAGTCTCCTCCCGCAGTTAAGCGGCATCAGCTCGAACCAGGACACTTCCACAAACACAACCCCGAGGTTCGAGCAGAGTCGACCACATTTACTTGTTCTCAGGCATTATAATTTCAGCTGGTAAAGGCCCCAATTGAGCTAAGCACCTCTTCTTGCAGAGGGACCGTCAGTTTGATCAGTTCCACAATTTGCGTCCAAGTTAAGAGATGGACTCGGAGACCCATGGATCGATGCGTGCATCGTGAGCGTAAACATCGATTTAAAAAAATCGTAATCGGTGCATACCCACCAGCCTTTCGCGACAGATGGACTGGGCAAAGCCTCCGTTGGATGACATTTCTCCTTGATTGTATTTTCCAGCCACAAAAGAAGTTGTTTTAATTACTAATTAGGGGACGTGATGATTGATGATTTCTACGGGACGATTGGCAGCCGGGTAATTGGCGATAGTGCGCGGTGCTGGTTGCGAATCGGATGATTGGGTGGGTACTTGAGTATCTGGCTACAACAGTGGTGATAGGTGTCAGCGGGTGACGGTGTTAAGTGTATGAGTGATGTGTGGACGCATGCAGTTTAGTGAATGAGTGATGTTTGAATGAGTGACGTTGGATTAACGAGGAATGATATGAGTGCTGATATGTGAAGGTGTGTTTTGTGAATGAGTCTTTGTACTGCGAATGAGTTTTGGGAATGAGTGACGTGAAGATGTGAATGAGCGGATGTTTAAGTGAATGAGTGACGTGAATGGATTATGTGATTGGGGGCTCCGCGAGGTCTGGAATTGTCGGCTCGCGCCGTACAGAGAGATGGGGAAGTGACCGAAGGATGAAATGGCACGTGCGAATATATGCGCGTGTAAATCTATTCGTTCGTGTGTGTGAATGGGGAGCAGTGGGGCAGTGGTTAGCGCACTGCGACCCGAGTGCGATTCCTGCTCAAGGCCCACGTCGGTAACGAATGCCTGAACCGGTTCTGGACTTCCCCTAGGTCGACTCAGCCTTAAATTAGTATTTGGTGCCGGCGTTTAAACATCAGCACTGTAGAGGCGGCCGGGCGTGGTGCTGTCCACCCCCACCACGTGCGCCGTGCCGGTCTTCATCGGTGCTCGCTAACAGGACTTGCCCCAACAGTCTCTTAGGGGCTGCACGGGGGACATTTGTCTTTGTGTTGTGCACGCGCGGGGTAATTAGCGCGCGCACATCTCAAATCACGTGATCAGGGTCCGCGCCGCGCACCCCCAGAGCAAAGGTCCCGGGGTCGAGCAGGGGATGACGTCACGCGGCGCGCACGTGTTCCTGGAAGGGCGACCTCGCGTGACCCCGCGCCTCCCCCCCTCCTCCTCTCTCCCTCCTCTTCCACCCTCCTCCCTCCTCTACCTCTCTCCTCTTCCTCCCTCTTCCACCTCCTCCTCCTCCTTCCTCCCGCTCCCCCTCCCACCCGTCCCCCACAACCCTTCCCTGCTTCCCGCCCAATCTGCCCCATAGAACCCTCCCTCTCGCCCCTCCCTCTCCCCCGCCCAGACACCCACAGCACTCTCCTCCTCCTCATTTCCCTGCACCCTCTCCTCGCACCTCCACCGCCGCACACTCCCCCCCCCCAAAAAAAACCACTCCTCACCTCCATCACCCCCCCCCCCCTCATTCATATCCCCCTCCCCACCATACTCTCTTTCACACTCTCTCCCTGCATCCCTCACCACTCACCACCTACCACCCTACACCTCTCACCCCCCCCCAAAAAAAAACTTCACCTCCATCATCCTCCATCCCCCCCCTACCCCCCCCCCCCCTTTTTCAGCCCCCTCCCCCGCCCTGGTCAGACAGGGGCTGGGGTCGGGGGTGCGGCTGCCGCCTTTAATTTGTCTCGCAACAGACGGGGGGCGGGAGTCGGGGGAGGAGGCGAGGAATGGGGGGGGGGGGTACCGGGAGGGGGTGGACTCGTTCAGGTGGGGAGGTGGTGGGGGGGCCGGGCGGGGTCTGGTGTTTAGGTATTAATAGAGAGCCGGCTCACTCGGCGGAGCAGTGGCGCAGCGGTTAGCGCACCGCGCTATGCACTCAGAAAAGAACGGGGCACGTTTCGTCTTAACCCCTCCCCTGACGCTACCTCTGTGCACCGAGCAGCAGTCTGATCGGGTGCAACACCACAGTCGCCCGGCAGGTGGGTTAATCACACCTCTTCAAATATCCCGCCTCTTCAAATATGTCGTGGCCAGTGTGAAAGAGGAGGCCAAATGCGCTCTCGAGAAACTCTCCAGAGGGGCTTTCTAAGCGGACGGCTCTCTAGGTCGGGGGGGGGGGGGGGCTCTCTCAGTGGGGGGGCTCTCTCAGTGGGGGGGGGGGGGCTCTCTCAGTGGGGGGGGGGGGGGGGCTCTCTCAGTGGGGGGGGGCTCTCTAAAGCTTCCTCGAGTGGGAGCGCTTCCACCAGCAGTGGAGTGAGCATGGAATTTGCAGGAACGCTGCGGTTCTCTTCACCCCCCCCATCGCTCCCTGCCGCTCGAATGGAGCCGCCGTGGGGTGGCCTGTGGGAGGGGGTGGGGACAGAGGCACGGGGGATCAGGGGGGGTCAAGGGGAGGGGGCGCGAGGCTGGGCTTTAGTTGGGGGGCGGGGCGGGGGGGGGATCGGCTCGCCGGGGGCTGATTTGCATGCGGGGCGCGTGCAGTTGCAGGCGTACAACACACACGCAAATAACACACACACACACAAAGACAAAGATACCCCGTGTAGCCTCTAAATACTCTTGGGGCAAGTGCTGTTAGCGAGTACCTATGAAGGTCGGCACGGCACGCGTGGGGGTGGGTGACCAACACCACGCCTGACCGCCTTTGTCTCCCCAGTGGCGACGTTTACACGTCACACCAGGTACTCATTTGAGGCTGAGTCGACCTAAAGGGAGGCCCAGCACCGGTTCAGATGATCGTCACTGGCTGTTGGTCGTGAGCGGGAATCGAACTGGGGTAGGTGCGGTGCGCTAACCACTGCGCCACCGTTCCATGCAAAGACAAATACACATGCACACACGCACGCGCATATACACCCACATGGATAAACACCAACACGTATACTCTTTGGTTCTTTCGGTAAAGTCACGTAGGTATAAAATAAAATAAATCAATATAATCCAGCAGTTCACTGCAGTGGACTGCTGGATTACATTTTTTTCCGCCTGAGGACGACCGCTTGTGTTGCGATCGAAACGTCGTGATTTATTTTATTTTCTACCTACGTGACTTTACCGAAAGAACCAAAGAGTATGGATTCCTGCAGTCACGAAAGCTTCAAATCAACAACAAACACGGATGCATATTTACACACATGAACAACAACAACAACCGCTTTTCGCCACTAAGTAGCGGTCACGTCACCACGTCGCATGTGCCAAGCTAGGTGCACTTTGAAGCCACGTGAAATCTCGAAGGCTCGTCGCAGGAGGTCACATGCACGTTCACGGACTGGCAGACACACGAGCCAACCAGCCCCTAGTACCAGCTCTAGCCCTAACCCTAACCAATCAGCCACTAGTACTAGTACTAGCCACACCCCTAACCTTAACCAATCAGCCACTAAATTTCGATTTAAAGCTTTCGTGACTGCAGGGATTCATCTTCTTGGTTCTTTCGGTAAAGTCACGTAGAAGGGAAATAATACAATTATAAAAATAAAACATAATAAAATACAATTCTCACGACGTTTCGGCCACAACGCAAGCAGCCGTCCTCAGGTGAAGAACAGGGCTGTCGGAAAGACAGCGTCTGAATGAACACGTTGCCAAGCTTGGTGGTGTTCATTCAGACGCTGTCTTTCCGACAGACCTGTTCTTCACCTGAGGACGGCTGCTTGCGTTGTGGCCGAAACGTCGTGAGAATTGTATTTTATGATGTTTTATTATTTTATTATTTCCCTTCTACGTGACTTTACCGAAAGAACCAAGAAGATGAATCAGCCACTAGTCACTCGCCACCAGTTCTAGCTTCGTGCGAGGTAACACTCACAGCGCCCCACAGACAGTTTCAAAAATCCACCGCAGCGTAGCCACCTCCGAGCGCCCTCGTGAGCACCACCCCAGGCACGTGTCCCCATCACGCGCCCAAAGCTCAGCAGCTTCGACCCCGCTTAAAGCTTCCCAGCAGTGCCGATGTTTGGGGCGGAGAATTTAGCGACGTTTCGGGCGATGGGTCTTCGACGCAGGACAGAAGACCGGCGATCATCGGAGTCGTCGGTGACAGTGGCGGCGCGGGGGTGGGGGTGGCCGTCTTAGCGGCGATAACCGGACTGCTGTAATTGATGACGGTTAGTGATGGTAATTGATGACGGTAAGTGATGGTAATTGATGACTTTTAAAGTGAGGATAATTGGCGGCCGTTGTTGGCGATACATGGCGACGATAATTAATTATGATAATTTATGTTATAATAATCGGTGATAACAATTTATCGTTTTATAATATATTACGATCGTGAATAATTCGATTACTAAAATTGAACAAATGATGATGACACTTCACGATGACTCCGAACGATTATTTACGAACGTAATTAATCGATGGCAGTACGGTACTGTAAATCGCGTGGCGACAACTCACAAGGATCACGGAGGCCATCACGCTGGGTAAAAGCCCGGAGCAGATCGTCCTGGAGTGAAAGCCCGGAGTGGATCACCCTGGAGTGAAAGTCCGGAGCGGATCGCCCTGGAGTGAAAGCCCGGAGCGGATCGCCCTGGATTGAAAGCCCGGAGTGGATCATCCTGGACTAAAAGTCCGGAGTGGATCATCCTGGAGTGAAAGCCCGGAGCAGATCGTCATGGATTGAAAGCCCGGAGCGGATTGTCCTGGAGTGAAATCCCGAAGCCGATCACCCTGGATTGGATCCCCGCGTCTGTTTAGCCTCATTGAATCTCAGGAACCTCCTTCAGGAGGGTCCTGTCAATATTTTTTTTAAATAATAGATAGCGATAATTGCTGCTGCCGTGTGTGCTCGCAATTGAGATAATTTGCATGAATTATTACTCAGCTTTGGGATGTTTTGACCATTGACAGTTACACTGTATCTGTTTCAACTATGGGAGGAAAACAGAAAATCCGGAAACCCATTGCAGAACAGGTGAAGAACATACACACTCGACGCAGAGAGGCGCTCGAGTCGGGACTCGAACCCAGGTGTTCTTGCTGTGCGGCACGAGCGCCACCACTGCATTCGTAGAATCTGTAGTCTCCGCGTTGCTGAGTCTCAAGACTCATTTTCAGGAGGGTGTGACAGGAGACCGGACAGCTCCAGATGAAACCCACAACGCTCTGTAATGCCGTGGGGTGACACTCAAAGCTCCGCTCACTCAGACGGAATCACGTGCCCACTTGCTGTACTGCCATCTCCTGGTCACCACCTTGCAACAGTCCAGCGAAGCCTGGAGTTTCACACACACTTAGTCGCGATCAACCAGCATGCAAAAGTACCGAACAGATGGATCCAATAATCCATCGCTGTTCTATACCGCACAATGTCGCAGCCCGGCCCGAAAGCACCCGGCCCTGTATTCCCAGGCAGTCTCCCAAGTGTCAACCGGTGCTGGCTCCAGTTCCATGTTTTCGGGTGAGAGGGGGAGAGCTGCCGGGGGGAGAGGTGGTGGAGGGGGGGCCTCAGAGCGCCTTTAATTAACAGCGGACGGATGCTCATTTGCATAAAGGCGTCTGCCATATGCGGGTGCGACACCCCCCGCGGAGCCGTGGCCACGTGTCACGAGGGCGGGCATCCATTCTCCAGCGCGCGCGCGCACGCGCGTGTGTGTGTAGGTGTTTGTTGTGTGTATGGTGCGGTGTGTAAACCACAGCATTGGGGAGACAAAGGCGGCCGGGCGTGGCGATGGCCACCCCAACTCACCGTGCCGGGCAAGCTTTCCCTCCTGCCGCGCGAGGGGTTTCTCCGGGCACTGCTCTCTCCTTCCATATCCCAATCAACAAAAAAAAACAACAGAATCAGCTGGTGACGCTGTTGCATTTGCAGTGGTGCACAATCAAAAGCAACAACAACAACCTCAACGCATTCGTGCATAACAACGCCGTGAGCGTAAAACATAATAGATATAATAGGTGACGTTCTGGGCAATGGTCCTTCTTTAAAGCGCACGAGTCGAGAGAGGCTGGAAGAGAGACGGAGCGTCTGGCGAGGGATGGAGAGGGCTCTTGTTTACACCACGGGGGGCCCTGCATGAGAACTACATTTTGTAAAACGTCTTTTCTGATGACCGCGCGGGGGGTTGGGGGCTGGGGGGGAGGTTGTTATAATTGACGTGCAAACGCATCCGTCTCGAGACTCGTTGCGGTGCGCGTCACATCACCGGGGCCTGCGTCGCCCCCGACGTGTTTGCCCGCCTCCTCGACGCCAAACTCCGCCGCTAAGCTCGGCAGCTGCAGCTTTGCACTGCAGACGAACACCTTCTTCACCCGCGGCTTGTCTTGCCGGTCACGACGGCTCCTTTGGCCGCACTTCAACCGCGTTGGCCAGTGACGAGTTGTCGCTGAAGGCACATTGGTGGGGTAGCCTATGCTGTGGATAAGGAACCGACCAATGAACCAGGTATCGTATTACGCCGCGGCTGGGAATTGAACTCAGGTGCGCCGGGTTTGCAGTAGCGCAGTGCGCTAACCACTGCGCCACCGCTCCCGTATATCCAACTGCTGCAGGGAAGCTTCGCCACGCGGCGTGGTGACACATGCGTGTCGCATGCATAATGCATGCGCAGTGATTTATATGCACGCATGTTTGTGTGTGTGTGTCCGTGTATGCTCGATGCTGCGGCATGAATAATGTATGACACCTGCGTGTCTGTGTGTGTCTGTGAATGAAGCGGTAGCGTAGTGGTTAGCGCGCTGCGCTACGAACCAGACGGACCGAGTTCGATGTCTGCTCACGGCACAACGCCGATTATCTGAACCGGTCCTGGGCCTGTCCGAGGTTAACGCAGCCTCAAATGAGTACCTGGTGCGGTGTGTAAACATTGCCACTGGGGAGACAAAGACGGTCGGGCGTGGTGCTGGCCACCCACCCCCTCGTGTGCTGTGCCGGCCTTCATAGGTGCTCGCTAACAGCACTTGCCCCTACCGTCTGTTCAGGCTACACGGGGGATCTTTGTCTCAGTTTTTTTGTGTATCAGTGTGTACGTATCTCTCGGTGTGTATGTATATCGATGTGTGTATGCATCTCTCGGTGGGTACATCTCTGTGTATGTATCTCTGTGTGTGCATCTCTGTGTGTGTGCATCTCTGTGTGTGTGCATCTCTGTGTGTATGCATCTCTCTGTGTGTATGGATCTCTGCGTGTGCATCTCTCTCTCTGTGTGCGTTCATGTCCTCTGCTGTGAATTAATTACTGTCCAGAGTCGCTCTGCGCTGCTTCGCTCTGTGTCTCGGCCGCGCCCGACGGAGTCAATAAAAACAGAGGGTGGGGGGCAGGGGAGGGGGGGTTAGGGGGGCCCAGGGTGGGGTGGGGGGTCGCCCCAGGCACCGCTGCATCTAAATGCAAATTCCTCTCGTCCCCTTTAAGTCTCGCCCTGCCGCCATCGCGCCCGCCCTGCTGCCAGGCGAAGCGGGGTCTCACCGCAGACCACGCTCAGCACGCAGCAACCACACTCACCACACAGCACACTCACCATACACACCACACCACACTCACCAAACCACACACACCACACTCACCACACTCACCAAACCACACTCACCAAACCACACCAAACCACACTCACCACACAGCACTCTCACCACACCACACTCACCAAACCACGCTCACCAAACCACACTCACCACACAGCACACCCACCACACTCACCACACTCACCACAGCACACCTACCACACCACACTCACCAAACCACACTCACCACAGCACACTCACCAAACCACACTCACCACAGCACACTCACCAAACCACGCTCACCAAACCACACTCACCAAACCACACTCACCACACAGCACATCCACCACACTCACCAAACCACACTCACCACAGCACACTCACCAAACCACACTCACCAAACCACACTCACCAAACCACACTCACCACAGCACACTCACCAAACCACATTCACCAAACCACACTCACCAAACTCACCACACAGCACGCTCACCACACTCACCAAACCACACTCACCACACAGCACACTCACCACACTCACCACACTCACCAAACCACACTCACCACACTCACCAAACCACACTCACCACAACACACTCACCAAACCACACTCACCAAACCACGCTTACCAAACCACACTCACCAAACCACACTCACCACACAGCACATCCACCACACTCACCAAACCACACTCACCACAGCACACTCACCAAACCACACTCACCACACAGCACATCCACCACACTCACCAAACCACACTCACCACAGCACACTCACCAAACCACGCTCTCCAAACCACACTCACCAAACCACGCTCACCAAACCACACTCACCAAACCACACTCACCACACAGCACACCCACCACACTCACCAAACCACACTCACCAAACCAAACCACACTCACCAAACCACACTCATCAAACCAAACCACACTCACCAAACCACGCTCACCAAACCACACTCACCAAACCAAACCACACTCACCACAGCACACTCACCACAGCACACTCACCAAACCACGCTCACCACACAGCACACTCACCAAACCACACTCACCAAACCACGCTCACCACACAGCACACTCACCACACCAAACTCACCAAACCACGCTTACCAAACCGCACTCACCAAACCACACTCACCACACAGCACATCCACCACACTCACTAAACCACACTCACAACAGCACACTCACCAAACCACACTCACCACACAGCACATCCACCACACTCACCAAACCACACTCACCACAGCACACTCACCAAACCACGCTCTCCAAACCACACTCACCAAACCACGCTCACCAAACCACACTCACCAAACCACACTCACCACACAGCACACCCACCACACTCACCAAACCACACTCACCAAACCACACTCACCAAACCAAACCACACTCACCAAACCACGCTCACCAAACCACACTCACCAAACCAAACCACACTCACCAAACCACACTCATCAAACCAAACCACACTCACCAAACCACGCTCACCAAACCACACTCACCAAACCACACTCACCACAGCACACTCACCACAGCACACTCACCAAACCACGCTCACCACACAGCACACTCACCAAACCACACTCACCAAACCACGCTCCCCAAACCACACTCACCAAACAGCACACTCACCACACAGCACATTCACCGCACAGTACACTCACCACACAGCACACTCACCACACAGCACACTCACCACACAGCACACTCACCACACAGCACACTCACCACACAACACACTCACCCTGCAGCACACTCAGCACGCAGCACACTCACCACTCAGCACACTCACCACGCAGCACACTCACCACACCACACAGCACACCACACAGCACACTCACCACACAGCACACTCACCACACAGCACACTCACCACACAGAACACTCACCACACCACACAGCACACTCACCACACAGCACACTCACCACACCACACAGCACACCACACAGCACACTCACCACACAGCACACTCACCACACAGCACACTCACCACACAGCACACTCACCGCACAGTACACTCACCACACAGCACACTCACCGCACAGCACACTCACCGCACAGCACACTCACCGCACAGTACACTCACCGCACAGCACACTCACCACACAGCACACTCACCACACAGCACACCACACAGC